TAGCAAATGCTGTGAAGAATGTGAACACAACAGCTTCTGGGGAGAAAAATTGGCAGGAAAGCAAGTAGAAGCAGACTGTGAGACACTTCTTACAAACTGTGCTTAGAAACCAATCTGTTCTTCTTTATTGTTCTCTGATGAAGGGATGGATTATAAATGGTGCAGACAGCCTTGAGGCCTGTGATAATACAGTATCTGTAGCTTTTCCAGTTGGAGGCTTAAACTCTTAATGTTTTCCATGCAAAAAAGGATGAAAATACATTTTTAAAAAAAGTCTGAAACTTTTACTGAAACTGTACATGTCAAAACCTCAGCTTCAGGAACAAATAATTATTTAGACAGGAGAGTAAAGGTATCTTTAATTGAAAGAACAAACTTTTAAAATGTTTTTAAACTTCTTTCCTGCTTTGTTTGTGGTTTGTCCAAGATAAATATGTAAAACTGGAAGTTATTAATATGAAAATATCTCCCCCTGACTTTGGTCTGTCCTTAAGGTATATGCAAAGTCAAGCTTACCTTACAAGGCAGTACACTGAATTCATTTTTTTGATGTTTTGATTGCAACCTGTGCTTGTCCATACAACCATCAGAAGTTGCATGGCATGTGAGTGTTATACAGGTTCAGTGTACTGCTGAACGAATGGTACCCTGAATGTAAACATGAAAACAATGTTCTGCTCTGCTTATGGCCCTTACGTGTACCCACAAAGTCAAATGTTTGAATAAAATCATATGCAACTAGGGTTGGATGTTGTGCCTTAACTGATCTCTGCCTCAGCAGAAGCAGCCTCTGCTCTAAATATGGTTTCACATTGTGCAGTTGTTGACAGTGATTTATGTTTGCTCGCACTGAGATCCTCCCGTGACTGGCCTCGGGTGTGTTAGGCAGATCCAAGAGCCAGATTCAGCCATTAAGTAGTTCTGTTCCTTCTGCTTATCTTCTTTAAAAGAACATCTTTTCGTTGTTAATCTTGTATTAAATTTAAGGTAAATAATCAGCGAAATTAATCAAAGTAGATTAAAATGTGATGTGATTTTATGCAATAAACAAAGATAGTTTGGAGTGTCTGGGTAAACCAGTAGGCTGGCTTAACAGGGCCATCTGCTGGTGGACGCACTCTAAGGAGGGAACTTCGGATTTCACTGGAAGCAAGTCTAGTTTGGGGAGAGGTTAATGACTTGCTTCTGACTTGCAAACATCCATGACTCTGAAATTATCATTGTAAGCTGCTTTGTACTTGTGTCAGTTCCCGACTCTGTAGCAGAACTTATTACTGTAAAAACAGAGAACTGCTTGAGTATAAATTTATGCTCCATTCAAATGTTAAATGGGATGTTTCATCTGGGAGTTGTATTACCATAGATTAAGCCACAATTTAAAACTATATTGCAAGGAAGTGTGGGTTTGTAGATGAATCTCTCAGATCATTAAATAACAAATAATGTTATTACTCTTTACACAAAATGTCTACTTAAGGGACATTTGGTTTAAAATTACAGATTAAATTTCTTATAAAAAAGCTGAATGGTCTGGTGTACTGATAATTTTTTTTTAACTCTAATATTGAGAAGGCTTTTGGATATTTTTTTTATAAGCACTGCATTTAATGTAGCATCGTAAGTGTCTTTTGTATGCAGGCTCACTGCCTGCATGCCCTGTATGTGGCAACTCCCGGATATATTTGACTGGAAAGTACTGGTTATGATCTATTCCTTCACAAGCTTATAATGAATAAAATGAAACCCGTGCATAGGAATAAACTGAGTAATCAACACATGCAAGCATGCCTCATTTTCTTATTTTGAAAACCTGCAATTTTATTTGGAAAGGACACCTTAAAACAAAGGTTCAGGGTTCTTTAATATGTGATTTTGTGTGAGTTTCTGTGTATCAGGCTGTGCTACCCAGCACAGCTGTACTGCAGGTGTAACTGCTCACAGGATTGCCCACAGCCTGTGGCAAAGCAAACTTCATATCGGTTCCTGTGTGCTTATAGCAGCACACTTAAAGCAGTGCCTTGGTCATTCCCTTGTAATTAGTAAGAAGCAGTAGCTGCTTGCTGACAAAAATGATAAACTATGCTCAAGGTATCACCTGAGAAAGCACTGATGTGACAGTATCGCCCCCAAACTTTGTCCCTAACTTTTGTCACCTGACAGCATACACCTTTTTACCCACAGGAAAAGCCAGTTAACATGCTGCCTAAGGGCTGCTCTGACCTTCTTGACTTCTAAACTGTTTTCCATTTTTTCCCCCCTTTTGACAAGCAACTGAAGTGAGGGAGATGGATTTCATTACAGGTGCTTTGACTGAAATTACTTAGTGCTTCCCATTGAACTTGGCCATAAATGTCACTGATTTACAGACCCCACTAAAGCGCAGACGTTATCCAGTGACTGGTACTTGTACTGCATTTATGTTACAAGGCTTTGTAGGAGGGGGGGGGCTGCAGGGGTGGCTTCTGTGAGCAGAGCCCAGCAGCTGCCCCACGTCAGATCAGAGCCAGCTCCAGCTGGCTCCAAAAGGGACCTGCCACTGGCCTGAGCCAAGCCAGAGAGTGACACTGCTTGGGCCTCTGGTGGAGCAGGTTTAAAAAGGTAAAATCTCCACAGTGCTCTTACATAGAAATTGTGCCTGTGAAGGGACACATTATTTTTAGGGACACAGTTCAGATACACACAGTATTTTTTGTGTGTATCTGAACTGTTCTGGAACAATTATTTTTTTACTTACAGTTCATTCTGCCTTTTCATCTGTCCATTTTAATGACTATTTTGGTACCTGTCCTAATAGGATGGCACTGCAGTATATGATGAGGGGCATTGGACTTATCTCTATGGGAAGGAGGAAGTCACCTCCTCTTGTTTGTGATAAACCTGTAAGGAAATGCCTGCGATGCGAGGGAACTAACTCAGCAACATGAGGAATACAGGCAGAGCTAACAACGAGCTGGCTATCGGGGTAAAGGGAGTCCAGCCGTGGTATTGCTTTACAGTCACACTTCTCTCCTGTGAGTCTTTTTGCTAAAAGCAAAAGCTGTTCCAGTAATTCTGTAACCATTTTTAAACCCTGGTTAAGCTCACCTGGGAAATTGTACTACATTGGGAAGTAGCATTTTATCTACAGAATCCAGTCCTGCTCCTGATTCCTGTGCCATGGACTGATCACGGAGTTGTCCCTGCCAGTGGAAGCTGTAGCTTGCACAGCTGTGTTGTGCTTCTGCAAACCTTGCCTGTGCTGTCAGGCCTGGCAGTTGCTGTAGCTGCATATCTTACACGTGGTGTCACTTTGGTAGGTGGAAACACTTCTGTCCGTGTGCGAGCAGGTAGGCTGTGGTTTTTGCTATGTGACACGTTGGATGTGTGGTACTCGACGTAACCACACCAACTGAGGCAAATCTTACTGCCTTTTTTTTTTTTTTTTTTTTTTGTGAGGGTTCATAGGTTCACTGGGCTGGTGTTGAGAAGCTATTGCTGAACATAAAGGCAGTAAAACTTGGCCCAACGAAGAAATGAGAAATGTCCAATCTGTGAAGAAACCAAATCTCACATTTGTAGTGAGAAATGCAATGGAATACAGTTTTCCTGCTGATATCCCATCTGTTTGTTGTCTTGCACAGCGTTAGCTTCAAGGAGGCAGCTCTCAGGTTACGGAGAGAGGGAGGGATCATCAGAGCCCCAGGCAGCTGCAGGAGCTGAGACCATTGCTTCAGGACAGACAGCTGCTGAGGGAGGACTGAGTTGCTCCTAGCTGCTCATCAGTGCCACAGCAACTTTGTGTTGCTGTGCAACTTGTGTTTTGTTACACTTTTGGATGGTGAGAAGGTCTAGAAATGAAGAGAAAAATTCCATCCTCCTCTCATGTCTCTATCAGGTTGCTGTTCACAGCCGTGATGCTTCAAGGTGAGAAACACTTTTTGGTAGCTAAGTGTTGAATTGGCATTTATTTTATTCAGGTAGAAGCTGGTGTCCTGATGCATACTACATGGTTGAGCTCCAGCAATCCCCCTCATCTGCTTTTTTTTTTTTTTTTTTTTTTGGTCTTACTGATGCATAGACAAAATGAATGATCGTGTACAACCAGATAGATCCAAATGCTCCTTGTGAAGCTTTGGTTTGTTAGGATTTCTTTTTCATCAGGAAGGTTAACTTTGAATTCTGGTAAGTCCAGGAAGTCACTGTGAGTCACCAAAGAGCAATGTCCTCCATAGCACTTGTTTCCTGTGTTGTGCCAGCTGGCGTTTGCACAAGTCTCGTGAAGGTTACTGTCCTTGTCCTTTGCCTGCAGAAATGTGTGAATTTGTCTAAAGGTAATGCAGACACTGCCTAGAGAAACGGTAATGCAGTGTGGAACAGCAGAAGTGTGGTAAATCTGAAATTTTAGTGGAATACCCATAGGAAGTCTGGATAGTAATGAATACATGATTTGGGAAAGATGTTAGTCCAAGGATGTGTTCATACCTCGTGTAGTTGTCAAATTGTGAAGAAAAGCAGCTTAGACTTCTTCCAAGTGCTGTATTTTTTTTTTATTTTTTTATTTTTTAAGGGCAGAGGGAGGGTAAATTCTGAAAGTAGCATGAAAGTAGCAGTGTTACATTTAAGGAGACATCACAAGCTATTAGCCTGGGAGCAGGTTCGACTTCAGGCTTGGCTTCTAATTTTAGCTTAGCAGATGTGTCACTCTAAGCCAATAATCTCTATGCCTATGAAAGAAATCAGTAAAATAGAGGTAATGACACTCAAAAATGGCAGGAATCTCTGGATAGAGAATTTTTTTTCATCGGGTGTGAAAAGCTAAAGCTAGCTATTCATTTACTACAGGTGAATGCTGTCTTTATTTGAATAACTTCATCGGGTTTACTCTGTTTTTGCACTAAATGATACTCTACAATATGTGAATGATAAATATAGCAAATGCTGTTTGAAGCTATAGAAAAAGGCTATCTTCTGATATTGCTCAGTGCTTAATCTGATGTACTGAACAAAAACGTGTTATCTAGCTGTAGAATCAGCCAAAGGAAAATATGCTCACATGCTGTTCAATGAACTGTTTGAAGACTATTCCAATGCTCTACGACCAGTGGAAGACACAGATAAAGTGCTGAATGTTACCCTTCAGATAACATTGTCCCAAATTAAAGATATGGTGAGTAAAAATGCAGTTCTGTTTTTCTGAATACATGCAGAAGCATGTCAACCGTAAACTTGCTTGGAGTGGGAAAACAACTTAAATTTTGTTGTGGCGACTTCAGTAATGCTTCTTCACAAGGGTCTTGTTCTCTGGTTCTTGATAGAATCTTATCTGATTGCAATGCTAGGACTTCCATTGCATGTCTACAGACATAGCTGCTGAGTTGCGAAGACTTTGTAGTTTTAGTTAGATGTTTGTATTGTAGCATCCAGGCAACTTTTGCTATTAAATAAAAAGAGCAAATGCTTTTTCTAGGAAGCAATTTCTCATAATCTTCCTATTTCAGCCTTTAACTTCTTATACATTTGGTTCAGCCAGATACATTTTTAAGGCAAAATAAATGTGTCTGTAAGGAGAATGGAAAATCACTTCTGATTTGTGAATCAACAAGCTTTCGGAGAGTTTTGGACTGAATTTTGTTTGGTATTCTGAAGCTGGCAAAAGAAAACTCATGAGATATTAAGAGCCTTAGACAGCTGTTATTAAAATTTGGGAGGGTGCAGGGAGAAGAACCATCCTTTGGGGGAGAAAGGCTTGGACAAGAGAACGATTGAATACATAAGGCCCCTCTACACTGTATGGTATACGTACCTGTCTGAAAAGTGCTGCTGTGGCCTGTTAGTATTCTGGCCTGTTCTGAGCATTGCTTTAAAGTTACACAACAAATACTGCCAGAATCTAAGATGTACTTCTATTTATTTATTTATTTATTTTTAACAGTCAGTTAAAAATATTTTTATTTTTTATGCAGGATGAAAGGAACCAAATTTTGACAGCTTACTTATGGATTCGACAAAGCTGGTATGATGCGTACCTCAAATGGGACAAGGATAAATATGATGGGTTGGATTCTATCAGGATTCCAAGCAATTTGGTCTGGAGACCAGATATTGTCCTATATAACAAGTGAGTGAGGCTGGAGAGAATCAGCTTGAATGTGTGTATGAAGGAGGGGGTAGAAGGAAAATGACCCATGGAGCCTGAACTTTCATCAATACACTTTGCCTTAGGAAGGGATATATTTTTTGTCTTAATATTTGTTTCTGAACATCTGAATATTTAGAAAAAATCCATAGGATCGTTTGAATATTGATCCAGCTTCCTTGGTTGCATTGGGAGTTGAACACTTTCCCTCCCCGGTGATCTGAAGTGCTTTCTGTAGAAGCTGCTGGAGAGCTCTACAAGATTGTGTCCACAAGAAGTGGGTATACAAAGGATCTATAACTTGTCTGCTCTCCCAGGCCAGTAATGAACAGCAGATTATCATGATTTTTGAATATCCTACTGTGTCAGTGGATACTGGTACTTATAAATGATATAGTTAATAGTCAGTTCCTAATAAAAATCAGTGTAAATAATATGGTTTCAGAAGCATGCCTTTAATGGTGTGAAGCGAGGGTCTCCTCCTGACTCTCCCCAGCCTACACACTAAGTTGCTGCATGTCAATCCTGACTGTCACTTTTCTGTCTTTTAGGGCAGATGATGACTTTTCAGAACCAGTGAATACTAATGTTGTGTTGAGATATGATGGAAAAATTACTTGGGATGCGCCTGCTATCACAAAGAGCTCATGTGTAGTGGATGTATCTTATTTTCCTTTTGACAGCCAGCAGTGCAACCTTACGTTTGGTTCCTGGACCTATAATGGTAATCAGGTAGACATCATCAATTCTCTTGATAGTGGTGACCTTTCTGACTTCGTAGAAGATGTGGAATGGGAGATTCATGGCATGCCAGCGGTTAAGAATGTAATCACTTACGGCTGCTGCTCTGAGCCTTATCCAGATGTAACATTCACACTGATTTTGAAAAGGAAGTCTTCTTTCTACATATTTAACCTTTTGCTTCCTTGCATTTTGATCTCTTTCCTCGCCCCACTGGGATTCTATCTCCCTGCAGACTCTGGAGAAAAAGTGTCTCTAGGTGTTACGGTTCTTCTTGCCCTGACCGTGTTCCAGCTTATGGTTGCAGAGATCATGCCTCCCTCTGAAAACGTACCTTTAATAGGTGAGCTTTACGTGCTTTAAATGTAGCTTTATATGCTTGAAACATTTTTTACAATGCTTATTCAATAGTCACTCATCTGATAAAGGCATACCAGTAATGAGTGTGAGGTTTTACTTTAATGCTTTAATCAATATTCTTATATGGTAATTGTTATCTAAATACAGAGTATCAGGGTGATTAAAATTTGGTTTCACTTGCACTTATGCTTAGCATTATGTTGTCACATTATTTCTGCACTGATTTTTTAGGGTAGCATCTTTAATATCATTTTATTTTGTGTTCCAGGCAAGTATTACATAGCAACTATGACCATGATCACAGCTTCCACTGCGCTGACGATCATTATCATGAACGTCCATCACTGTGGCTCAGAAGCGAAGCCTGTTCCACAATGGGCCAGGGTGGTTATCTTGGACTACATGTCAAAAATCTTTTTTGTGTATGATGTGGGTGAAAACTGTACAAGTCCGCAAAGAGAGAAGGAGCAAGAACATAAGTTAGAGGGGGATGATGTGTGTCCGGGGGGAGACAAAGAGGTAAGGAGTCAACTTTCCAATAGAAATGATGACAGTGATCTCAAGGAGAAGCTGAATGGAAATTTGAATAAAAGCTGTGGAGTTCATGGTGAAGACGGTAGGGAGAATGTTAACTGCTGTTCCTGTTACAAAATGCTGATAAAGAATATCGAGTACATTGCTAACTGTGTTCGAGACCATAAAGCAAACCGGGCCAAAGGGATTGAGTGGAAAAAAGTAGCAAAAGTGATGGACAGGTTTTTCATGTGGATTTTTTTTATCATGGTGTTTTTCATGAGTGTGCTGATCATTGGGAAAGCAGCTTAACTGCAGATGAACACATTCATTTTGTAGGTATGAATGTACTGGGTTAGCTCGTTTCAGTGGAGCTGTGGGGTAGGTGTGCTTCTGAGATCTTTGTGTCTTCTGTTCTGTAACAATAAACCAGCTCAGTAGGCTGCAACGGCATGTTGAGACATTGCTCAGCGGATGGCTTTATTAGTGGCTTTCATTGCATTTTAATATGGGAGTGCAGCCCCGATGAGGCTGCTGGATGAGCAGTCTGTGCTCCGTCTTAATGAACGGTGGCCACGACTGCAGGCTGATCGGGGGAGCAATGCAGTGATGGAGCCGACAGCCTAGCAGGGAGCACTCTATTCAGAGGGCTGCACCTTGTAACTTGGCTGGCCTTTTCTCTCTGCCAGAACAAAAGTGGGGTATTTGTGAGATTGTGACAGTTCCTGGAATTTACTGCTTCATGGCACTGCCCTTTTTTCCTTTTTTAGCTTGCCTAAGTTAGCTTATTTTGTTAAGGGCTTTTTCTGGTTACTGTTCATGTCTGCTCATAGGCTCCACCTGCCTCTATCTTGCTCTCTGGTGTGCCTTTCACTTCTGCTACCACTGAGTATACCACTAAATATGACTGTACCTTGATTTTCCTTTTAATCATTTCCTGCTGCTAAATATTGCTCCATTGTTACTACAGGCACAGTAAGCCAGAATGACAGGACTTTTTCCTCACCAAGTCACAGGGCCTCTCCTCCTTTCTCTTCCTTCTGATTCTAACAGTAGGAAGGGCTTCTCATCCTCCCTAGATATTTCATTGCTCTGGACATTTGTTCAAAATGGGCCTTTAAATGTCACTTGTGAGGCTGTTAAAATAGGCTGTGAGTGTCTAGTCTCTGCTCATTGTATTGATCTTGACTAATGCTCACCCCATGTGTCTGTTATCTGGTTTTGAATCACTAAGGTCAGAAGGGACCTCTGGAGACCATCTAGTCCACCCCCCGTGCTCAAGCAGGGTCACCTAGAGCATGTTGCACAGGATCACGTCCAGGTGGGTTTTTTAATATCTCCAGGGGAGCAGACTCCACAATCTCTCTGAGCAACCCCTTCCAGTGTTCTGTCACTCTCACAGTAGAGAAGTGTTTCCCCATATTCAGGTGGACCTTCCTGTGTTTCAGTTTGTGCCTGTTGCTTACCTCTGGGCACCACCAAAGAGCCTGGCCCCATCATCTTGACACCCTTCCCTAAGAAATTTATATGCATTGATGAGATCCCCTCTCAGTCTTCTCTTCTCCAGGCTAATGAGGCCCAGTTTTCTCAGCCTTTCCTCATATGAGAGATGCTTCAGTCCCCTAATCATCTTCACAGCCCTCTGCTGGACTGTCTCCAGAAGCTCCATGTCCCTCTTGTACTGGGGAACCCAGAACTGGACACAATACTCCAGGTGTGGCCTCCCCAGGCCTGTGCAGAGTGGGAGGATCACCTCTCAACCTGCTGGCAACACTTTTCCTAATGTACCCCAGGATACCATTGGCCTTCTTGGCCACAAGGGGACATTGCTGTCTCATGGTTTACCCGCTGTCCACCAGGACTCCCAGTTTTTTTCCTGCAGAGCTGCTTTCCAGCAGGTCATCCCCCAACCTGTACTAGTGCGTGGGGTTATTCCTCTCAGGTGCAGGACCCTGCACTAGCTTTTGTTGAACCTCAGGAGGATCCTCTCTGCCAAACTCTCCAGCCTGGCCAGGTCCCTCTGAATAGCAATGCAGCATTGTGGTGAATCAGCCACTCTTCCTGCTTTTGTATCAGCAGCAAACATGCTGAGAGTGCATCCTTGTCCGTTCATCTGGTTCACTGGTGGGTAAGTTGGATAGGACCGGACCCAGCACAGACCCCTGGGGGACACAGCTACAGGCCTCCAGCTAGACTGTGGACACTCTCACACAACCCTCTGAGCTCTGCCATCCAGCCAGTTCTCAGTCCACCTCACTGTCTGCTCATCTAAATGTACTTAAATTATCAGCTGTCTAAAGGAATGCCAAGGTTGCTTTGCGCATTACTTAGCACAAAAGCATGATCTTACAGCACTATCATTAAAGTAGTGCCATAATCAACACGTTCCCTGTTCAACACCTTGCTGCTTAAGTGTACATGAATGTGTTTGCTGACAACACTAAAAAGCCCTCTCCTCTGTGTTAATTTCTTTTAACTCCTCAGACAAAAGTTCCAGAAGATGTCTCATGGTAAAGTGAGAAGCTTAAAAGCCCAGGCATGCCCTTGGCAGATAAATTGCTTTTACAAAGCATCCTGAATTTTGAAACCATGATATTCTAGATGCAGTGGGAGAGGCAGAAGGACACTGTAATGGATCCCAGTCAAAAGTTCATGTGATAAAATGAGTTTTCGTAACTGTTGCAGTTAATAGGAGCACACCTGTGAAGCTGTAACTTAAGAGTGAGGAGTCAAAATGGCAAACCGATGCAGTCGTCATGCCCAAATTTATTGAAAGAGAGGGATTTGTAGTTATTATTATTATGTAAATGATGCGTTGAATTCTAAATGCCAGGTTTTCTTTTGTGTGGAATAATTAATGCTGTAAGCTTATCTGGATTCTCATACATAATGCAAGCTTTAAAGTCCAGGTTCTAATGTAAAGATAAACTGGGTAGCTAGCCAAGAATAAACTCAGTATGTGGAAAAAGTCTCAAGTGTATTCCCTATATATTATCAGCTTCCAGTCAACTGGGGTAACTTTGAATATCTGCTTTAGAAACCAAGCTGTTCATTCTCCCTGTGCAGAAGAATGGTTGCAGACATTTGCCATGGAGCTCAGGGTTTGACATTTATACTGCCTCGTTTAGGAAACTGATTTGGTCTTTGTTGTGGAAAAAAGATACTGTCCCCAAAGCCTGGGAAGTAAAGTATTTAAAGATAAAGGTAAGGTATTCAGAAGAAATGGCTAAGGGAGTGTTTGTCCAAGGCTTATGGGTGGTATAAAGAAAATAGAGTTATTGTTTGCTCTCTCTTCTACTTTAGGAACCAGGTGCATCAAATATACTGCGAGGTAGTGGATGGGACTGACTATATACTGTGTGAGAAGGCTGAGGAACTCCTTGCAACAGAATCTGTGAATGCTAAAAGATTGTGTGGATTTAAAGAGCTGGGGGAAAACGGAAGAAAAATCTGTCAGGGTACAACTAAATACAGTCACGAAGAGTTGAAAGCTAGAGCAGTGTTTTTAGGGATTCAATACTGCCTATTCTTCTGTGCTCTTTATCCCATGTTTCAGGAATTCAGGTGTTACGTTATAAGCATGTTTCATCCCATGGTTAACAAAGCTTTGCTCTGATCCTGCCAGAAGTATGGGAAATATCTCAGAGCTGTTTCTCAAGAAATGCAGGAGTTTGGCAAGAACTCCTGATTGTGCAGGTCTGTCCTCATTTGAGAAACAGAAGACCTGTAATTTGATTGTGTAGGAGATGGGAAGGGGAGAGCATGGGGTGAGCAAATTCCTTCATTTCCATTTAAAGCCAGGAAGAATCCATCTATTCTCTCACTTTAAAAATTTCTGTTACCTGTTGAAAATAATGTGGTGACTCTTGTTTTTGTTCTTAAAATCTTCTCATCAACAACAGGATATAAGACTGAAGGTGGCCTCTGTACTTTGTGTGCAACCACCTCTTTTGTACTTGCAGGCAGAGTGAATAACTTAGAGACAGTTTAAAGGAGCAGAGCAAACTGAATATCTCTTTTCTCACCGACTGTGAAGTCCACTAAGAAGTAGTCATTATTTTTTGTAGAGATAAATCCAGTTCAATTGAAGGAATGAGAGAGAGGGAGAGTTTCTCCTTTGTGTTTTACAAATTAAAAGTTCATTGTGTCCAGATCCCATGCCTGTCAGTGTTCAACAGGCATTTGGACAACGCCCTCATGAATCTGCTTTAGCTTTTGGTTAGCCCTGTGGTGGTTGGACTACATGATCTTTGAAGGTCCCTTCCAACTGTGCTATATTCTCTTTTAAGATCTCCTTTCTGCGGAGTAGCAGTGAACAATTCTGTTTATACGTTGCTTGCAGTAAGGAATAACTGAGATATCGACTGCCCCAGCTCAGGCTCTTTCTTGTCTGTTTCTTTCCAAATACTTTACAGCATTTAATTCCTAGTCTCTTGTCCTTGGGCCACTGATGATCTGCAAGGCCAACAATGATACGCTGCAATTGTTCCATTAGCTTAATGGAACTGTTTTAACCCATCCTCCCATTTGGCTACACTCAAGGATTTGTGAGACTGAGCTCTAAAAGCTGTCCAGTTCAGTCAGTTGGGAACCATTTGATGGCAGTGGGCAGTGAACACTAAATAATAAAATATACCAATACATTTAAAAAAAGATGAAGGCATATTAACTTACGTATTACCTTCTGGGAGCTGTCAGGAGTACAGTGTGTTAAGTTCAGCTACCACAAAGGTGAGTGTCAAGCAGTGCAGCCTGCCTTCTGCTTACCTGGGCTGCAGGGACTGACCTCGCAGCAGGCTAGCGGTGTACTCAATCATATATTTTCTTGGTCATGGGGGGTCTTGTGTTCATTTGTCTGCCCACGACAGTGCTGCATCTCCAGCTGAAGTTCCAGCTATTGTGATTGAGAAGACAATCCAGGGATACCTTTGCAACAGGACAATAATATAAATATCCAAATACAACTGTTGAGGGAGATAACAGTTGATGGGGAGCACAGCAGGGTGGAAAACATCGTGGTTTAATTCCAGATGTACAGAACTGTTATGCCTCTGTCTGTTCTTGGGCACTTCTTCAGAGTAGAAAGCAAATCTAGTGAACATCTGGAAAGAACAAATCAAGATAAATGGCAGCTGCAGTTTTAAAGAGAAGAGTTTTTCATTCTACTTCCTGAAAATGTTTGTTTTAAATGTGATTCGGTTTAAATGTGATTCAGTACTTCTACCTTCTAAATAACCTACCTAGAACTGTGTTGAGCTTTTTTTTTTTTTTTTCTGAGTAATGCGTATTGTCTGCTTTCTCTGCCATTCTGAACGTTTATTCTTTGCCAGGATATGTACCTTACAATGTTAGCATATCTACTCACATTTTTTTTTCTGTTACAAAAGAACTTGAAACAATTTTTTCAATGCTATTATTTTTATTAATCTTCACTGCAAATTATTTTATCTATGGTGTTGGGAGTTGCATGGGGACTCTATGCCAAAGACTGGCTTGTGTTCCCTTTGGTCTGTCACTACATTGGTTTGTGTTATTCTAAACGTAGTGACAGAGCTGGCAAAGGAAGAAGAGCATTGGAGCAAAAAATACATATATATTTTTATTGCTTAAATGTAACCCATATGATTGTAGGCAGAGCTTCAGTGAATAAAATGAGTAAATTAGGATTCACTGTATTTGCTTTCTATGTTTTACCACTAATAAAATTTGATTGATAGTGGTCTTAAATACTATGTAATAATAACGTATTCTGTTTCTGTTTGCTCATGCATTCTCCATTAACATGTTTAAGTGCATGTTAGCAGGAAATGACTGAGCCAGTATAATGTGAACAAATAAAGAAAGGCGCTGTGATTAATGCATGCATGTATGGTTGTATCGTTAGTGTACCATAGGCAAGTTGTAGGTCTGGCTTCTTCATTCATTCTGTGTTTTTGTTTCTAGCTGAATGTTACCAAGCTGCTCGCTGCGTTTAAGTGACAGAGGAGTGGCTGTTAATGTTTTGTTAGTGTTATGCTTGTATGTCCAAGCTTGCAGCAGCTTGTGATGGAAAGGTGGGACCCCCTGAGGAGGCACTGTCACCTCACACCATCCCACCCTGCCCCCCTGCATTGTTCCAGCAGGTAAGTGTGTCTAGGGGCCCTCAACTGCATGAAGATTTCTACTCACACCATCTGGAAGGTTGACTTCTCTGGGGATACCTTGCTGCCCTAAGTTCCCTCTAGCACCCATGTTTATTCAGACCCATTTTCTGTCCAGCTCACGGGCCTTTTCACAGGCACTTGATAGATGTGCTTCCTCCACAAGACACTCGACTTGGTTCAGAGCTGTCCAAATGTGTCATATGCTGCAGTTGGGTCTATTTTTGTTCAGCATGTTAATGGTTTAGGAGGCTGCCAGTAAGAGGTGAGTGAAACTTGTGTTGCTTTTACCTACTGTTCTTAGCTCAGGGGTCTGGTGTTGAGATAAGGGCCACGCTTTGTGTAGCCACAGTCACCTTCAGGTGCATGGCCTTAGTAGTGCTTTTGAATGCCATGTTCACTACCCTGCAGAGGTTGTTTGAATTGGATCAAAGAGCATTTCTAAACACCACGGTTCAAAGTGGAATGTGTAGGACGTGCACTCATTTGGCACCACACTGTTGAACCCACACATGACTCTGAGCAGTGCTTTTAGCCAGCAAGCTCTGTCACACCAGGAGCACTACCCTGGGACCCTGGGCTCCTGAGTTGACAGCAGCAAAGCAGCCCAGAGCTCCTGCCCCGTGTGCATGTTCCTGGTTTGGGATGGCCCCTGCTCTCAGCTGTGTGGGTTCAGCAGTTTTTGAGGCTGAAAATGGCAAGGCTGATGGCAAGGTTAAGAAGAAATGTAAAACAGCTGGAGCCAGCTGGGGTGAGGGGAGGAGAGGTGCAGGGTGACCGTGAAAATGTCTGGGGCCCAGGTGCCTGCCAAAGAAGTCAGCACCTTGCAAGAGCTCCTCTTGTGGAGACTTTTCCTCGCCTAACTCCTGAGACCTCTAGAGGTCACACGAGTGCTGTTCTTCTTGCCCGGGCACTTCAAGGCAGCACTAGTGGGCAATTTAAAAAATAAATGATTAAAAAACAAAAAACAAAAACCAACCTCAAAACACCTGCACTTAATCGTAGTTGTTTTCCTTTTTCTAAGAAGCAATAAGTAATGTAGACTTGGTGCCTTGTTAGCATTTCTCCTGCTGATAGCTTTTTATTAACGTCTAGATAAATGAAGGAATGTATCCTATGGGACAGTGCAAAGGCTGCTGTTCTGAAAGGGGTGTTTCATCTCCTCAGAAGCTATGCTTTAATTTACAGACCCAGGGGCCAGTAGTATTATGAACAGAACTGTCTGGAGGTAGTCTGTTAGTCTTCAGAGTACTGGGGAACAAAGACTTTATGAGCAGTCCAGACTGTGGTCCTACACCTGGTCGGGGCAGTCTGGCATAATGCTGAGACAAAGAGAAAATGCCTGCCGGAGGCATTGGGATCAGGTCAGCAGAGACAGGTTAACTTACAGCTTCTGACCAATGTCAAGTAGCCTGGAAAAGCAGGTTTTGGGCAAACAGATTTCTTCCACCGATCTTTCTTGACTGGACTGTCTCACACTTAGCTCCTCAGTACTTGTCCTTTAGTCCTTATGTTTTCTTCTGTGTGTGGAAAGAATCCTGTTATGGTATGGATATGGGCATAGGAATCAACTTTAGCCTTGTGGTACTGTTCCCTGCACCCTGTAAACGTGTCTCCTTGAGTTCAGTAATCATAAATGGGGACTGGGTAGGGCAACATCTCTGACATGGAAGAAAGAGTTTGTTTGCTCTTGCTATTGATTTGCAGCAAATCTCATGCTCAGCTCACTGCAAATGTAATATTAACATGAAAGATCTCTTCTGTATATGAGACCATCTCCACGTACAGTTAGGCTGAGGAAAGGGAAATCATTGAGGCAGTTCAATATTTGGCTTTCACTTCAAGAGATGGAAGCACTGGTACGTGCCATTTGTAACTTCTGAAGAAGCCAGTAGAAATGGGGCAGGATGTGTCATACAGAGGTTCCTGATTGTTCCAGCAGGTTCACTGTGGTAATCTGAGCCTGCACTTGTTCCCAGAGATGAAGGTTCTTCAAAATGCTGATTTAATCTTTCACTTTTGTGTCAGATTGCAATCCTATGTTGGAAGATGGCTGGAGAGCAGAGGCTGTTCGACTCAAATGAGGTAGCAGGTATATTAAGACTGTTGGAGGTAATTTGGTCCAGTTCAAGTGGTCCTTGCTGGTGCTCTAACCTTCTTCCAGGACACTGTTTCCAGCTACTCCCTGGAGGTGGTCGTCCTGAACCCAGCTTGGTGGGTGATTCCTTCCCCTTCCCTCTTAGCTACAAATATTGATTTGCACTAGCTGTCTCAGAGATGATTATTAGCACTGCCCAGGCCTGGAAATGTTATTAAGTGCTAACCCTAACAAGAGCTGCTGCTGGCAGGTCAGCTTGGGGAGCAGAACTTCTTTGTACAGCAGCAAAATGTACGTCACCATTCATTTCTGTTGCACTGCAGCAGCTGAATTGCTGTTTTATAGCATGTATTTTCTTTACAAACAAACAAACAAAACCTCCAAACACAAAAGACATCCAGCCAGAACAACAAGGTAATTATGAACCACATCGGTATGAGTATTGGCTTAAATCCATTACATACACCAACCCTGCCTATAGTAAAGGAACATGGGGCAATTACTGACTTCATAAATTCCTGTTCATACAGGACATCCAAAAGATTACAAGAGGGTGAACTTCAAAGAGAGCAGTATCACGGGACCTAAAATTGGAGAATTTGTATGTGGATAGTGGGGCTTTATCACAGACTGGTGACAGCCAAGGGGCAGAGTCACCATGGTTTGACATCTCATTTTGATGAGATGCTTCAGGATATTAAAAATGAGGCACCTAAATATCATTATATATCTGTACCAAGATCCTGCTGCTGGTGGTCTGGCTGGGATTGAGGCCGCTGTTGTGGTTTGCCTTGCAGCAAGCACTCAGCAATTTTCTTGTAGTGTGTGTGTGTGAATAAACCACTCCAGAGGGAATACAAAAATTACAACTTTGATGCTTTTTTGCTGTTGCCTGATACGTTTAGGGGGATGCTTAGCCAGGACAGTGTGTATCATGTTAGTAATTTCCCTAGTTAACTACTAGAACTTTATTATTATTATTTTATTATTTTATTTCCAGAGGTACTTTTTGATGGTTTAGAGAGATGGCACATGTAGAAATAGAGCACTATTCTAGAATAGCTGCTTTGGCTAAGCTCAGGAGCCTGCAGAGAGGCTACCCACCATTAGTGCTTTAAATCCAAATCCCATCAGAGCTGGCACCTGTGGGTGGCTGGTGCCCTGGGGACAAGACCACCACTTTATAGAGGTGTTTGGGGCTATGCAGTTTTTGCATGTTCACCCTTCAGGTGCACTCGGGTGTTACTGCTGAATAACCAAAGGCAATTTGTATTACAAAGATAAAAAAAAAAAAAAAAAAAAAAAGTAATTATATTACAATGAATGAAATCTGCAGGAAAAGGGAAAAGAGAGTTACTTTAATCCAGGAGGGGTTTGGGAGGGAGATGGGTGCTCAGCAAAATCCAGCTTTGTTAGAATTTCTTTGCTGTTTACCTGGTACTTGAGCCTTTTTTTTTTTTTTTTTTTTTTTTAATCACTCCTAGGGATTATGGTGTCTCACTGTAAGTATTATCTCTCCTCAGAACTTTATCTATAACAAGTAATTTACCTAATTGCATGCTATTGAGAGAAAAGAGTTTCATTCTAGTTCCAAGGTTCACTGTGAAACTGGGTGAAAAAGTATCTTATCAGGGATCTATACAGTCATTTGTAGTTTGCTCTTGTTCCCTTAAATACTGTCCAGCAACTCTAGGTCCTATAAAAAACTAGGTGATATTTTGCAAAATTCCTCCTACGAGAAGATCAATACTGATTCCTTTTGCTGCAGTCAGAGGTTGTGGCATAGCACTGTTGTTATACTGCGTAACTTCTGTCGTGGTTCTTCTGTGTCAGCCTCCCTGCGTTTAATGCTGGAGATTTATTACATGCTTTCTATCTGGGTTAATTATTTTGGCCTCTGGATCTACTAATTGCCATTTGTAAATTTTCCTGGTTGTAAAGTTCACAAAGATAACTTGGCCTCTATGGCTTAAACTCTTGGTACTTCTCAGATTATGAAAGGCAGTGCATGAGTTTGCTGAGATTCAGTAAGAAGAAAGATTATTTTGCCTTTGTAGCATACTGCCATCTATTTTTTTTCATGACATCTCAAACTCAGCTCAGGTTAGGAACCTATAATTTCAGTAGGACAAAATCAGATGGTAGAAGCAACTTTGCGTCAGACGTGAACCTGACCCTGAGCAGTCTGTTGTGTAGGATCCACTCCTTGCTTCCTGAGGAACATGGAACATCTCCAGACCGATGAAACAGAAACAAAGTCTGGGAACAAGGCAATGGCGTTTCAGCGCCACACCAGTCAGTACTGAGTGTTCGTTCTACCCCCTGTGGACAACGCATTCATGAATGTAGGCCTTTGTGAAGGTCAGTTTTGCTTTCCAGAGCCCTACCAGTGTACAAAAGGGGATTTAATGCCCCAAACCAACCTGTT